AGATGAAGAAAATATTGGTAATTAATATTAACAAGAAATTGACCTGTATGTAAAAATCGCCAGTCAGTGCTTTATCAATCCTTCCCGCTGTATCACTGGGATTCGCTTCATCAGATTTCAACTGAGCAGTAACCGCTTCTTTTTCTAAAGTGTAAACAAGTACAATTCCACACAACATCAAACGAAAAACAACAACGTTTCGTTACTTCTCAATAGCATTTTTATCAGTTAAATACATGAAAAGTATAAGGAAATAATTTAGAAGTGGAGTTCAGAGCCAAATCAGCACAATTACTGATTATAAGACTGAAAAAAAAGAAACTTGAAAGCTGTTGCGAGAAAAGAACTAACGTTGAATGCCACTACTCTCTTGAGATTCCGTTTCTTCATCAGCAGAAATGATTCCAGCCGCAATCAAGCCAAGAGCAGCAGATGCTCCCGCAAAAACTACACTACGAAGTGGACCAAAGAAATTGGCGACGAATGCTAGCGCGTAGATCCTGCATCATCACATTTTCACAACCATTAATCGATTTTTCATTGCAACAACCGCACTGCACACACCACACTAATACCAAATGCCCGAAAGATTTTAGTTTAAAAAATCGCTAAAATCACTAACACAACACACTTTTTCATTCTGGCAAATTTTGGTAAAGAAAAATAGATGTTTAAAATAATTTTAGGAAGAAGAACAATATGATTTTGCTTGAAGCTGTTCAGAATACAATGAGTCTGTAAACATTGGAAACCGCTAGAAATAAACACAACAACTGACCAAATCGGCAGAGAGAGAACACGTGCCAATTTCTTGTTGATCGTATCTTTGTCCTGTACGTAAATCCATCCTGCATACGCAGCAAAATAAAGTATTATCAACGGAAGAATCTGAAAATGAACTATCTCCAAGTATTTCATTTTAAACTATTTTGTTAATTCCTTGAGAAATAAGCCGAACGAAACCTCTTTCCAAAAAACACATCCCGAAAACGAAAGGATCATCAACACAATAATATATATTGGCGTTTCAATACCAAATCATACACGCTTTCGTATAAATCAATTCCGTAAGCTCAAAAAATACTTTCACATAAAATCCATAATTACACTCTCTAAATGAATCACACTTATTAAAATTCTGTTCTATGAAAGAATCAATAACGAAAATAACCAACCCATTTCTTCGCGAAAAGTAAAATAAAAGAGTCAATCCACTTGAAACAATATTCAACAAAACTGATACAATAGAGAAACAAGCCATAGCCNATCGATGCAGCGTTCAATAATCAACGACAATGAATACTACCAATTGGATCTACGATTCAACCAAACTTAATGATAACGATTTGCATGAAGCATATTAATAATGGAAAGAGGATAAGCGAATGTGGTAGCGTGAAATAAAATAAAATAAATGAAATAATCATCTGGAATAAAATAAACTCACCTCGTAGCATAATCAAGCAATAGATCGGACAAAGAGTTGACTGTATCAAACGGCAAACGAATCAGGCCAATTACCAGAGGTGTATCTTCGTTGTCCAGTTTTGTTAACCACCCTTCAAAAATAACCATTCAGCCATCTTACTTTAATTAGACAATTAAAATCTTTGGGACTCGTCTCGAGCCTAGCATTAAATATGCAAAGTTGATACAAACCACCAATCGCTGATGTAATTCTTCGTTTCAGTGGAAACAGAATAGTTCCAACTAGAACAGCCCACATTATTGGTGTTAGAAACATGTAGAATATTCGATAAACTGCATATACACCAGCCAGGCATATCGAGGTCTGCAAAACGATTGCATTTTGTTGTTTGCACGGTATGAGTGATTAAGTACTCAGGTTAGGAGCACAGGGCTTTTAAAATAATAACTTCCAAATGAGTAATTGGCCACTATAAAAACACTGCTTTTCCCTTTTTTTCACTGATGAAAACAGGGAACCAAAAAAATCGAACCGTTTTCTTGGAGAATTTGATAATTTAAAAATTTGGAAATTGATAATTGTTCATGAAAAAAAAANAAAAAAAAACGTACGAGGACGAAAACAAGAGCATTGTAGAATGCAAACTGAAATGCAATCTTCTGATCGGATGTTGATGTCAGCTGAGATGCCAGGTCGGTTCTTGGCGATGACATATCTCACCTCAAAGAGGTACAAACTTGAAAAGTGCTATTTTAATTAGTAATGCACATCATCCTCAGTCGTCTCAACATAACACAAATCAATTCATTTATCCACATTAAAAACAATTATGATAGAAGAGATAGGCGGTAGAAACAGGATACTGACATATGCTAATGAACAGAAATACGATTTCTGATTTATTCTCAGACAGTTTGACAATACTGACAACTTATACCAAATTTAAGAGACGCGTTGAGAGGTGATTTTTAAACTTCGAAATGGGATAAATTACGGACAACTGTGAACTCGTTTTTCAGTAAGAATCTGAATGCATGAAGTCATCAAACACTTGGAACGATACCGTTAGCAAAAGATACATGATGAAACTTGGTATTGCGCAACAAATGATGTGACGGTGTAAGGTGAAAATTCGATTAATGACGATAGCTCATAACGTTCGTCAGTTTTGAAGACAGTTCGTCTCTACGCCCAGCTTTTTGCATTTTTTGTTATCATCAATGAAGAGTGGTAGGGGAAAGATTCATATGCTTTTACGCACAAATTTGGTGAGTCAACATGTGAGTCACAGTCAGTTGCACAACTCAAATGATAATTTCTCAGAACATCGAAATTATTTTCGCAAAATTATTATTCATTCGAGCTACCATAAAAACGGCAATTTGAGAACATAAAGAAGAGAAAATACTGGAAAACGATTAACACTGAACGATTAATGGTTGCTCATGTTTCGCTGTCTGCATCTTTCTTCCACGACTGGCTATGGAATTTCAATGGGTTCAAAAGTAATAAGAGTGAAAGCTAGCTGATTTTGCTACTGGGCAAAACGGCTCTGCCGAATCAAAGTATTGATTCGAGTATGCGCGAAAAGAGAACATACTTTAAGAATGTGTGAAAATTACGAATTCATACAAAACTTTGTGCGCTCTCGTATGATAATGGCAAAGGATTGAACAAAACAAACAAGTGTCACGAGAAAACAATATCCAGTGCCGGTTCGTAACAACATCTGTTTGTTTACAAACCTGATTATGATTAGCATCAATAGCACAAACAAAAATCAGCTGTTTGGTAGCGTTGCCAAATAATATCAGCTGTTTGATGAGGTTGCCAACTCGCTGAAACGTAAGATTCTGTAATGCTTTACATTTTTGCGTGACTTTAGCTCAACAGTATGCAAGGTTTCCACCGGTAATATTCCTTGTTATCATTTTTTACNATGTACTATCTGAGGGTAAGCCTGCGTGCGTTTGCACTCACGTGCCTTAAAAGTGCTTACTAACGACAGATTATTAAGATATAGTTAGGCAGATGCAAACCGGAATGGATTTGCCCGAATGCTCGAAAGCTGCCGGAAACCGGAAAATATTTCATCGAATCATTGTGAATATAGCTGTGCATTGTACGTAGCTGGAAAAATTGGAGATACGGCATAAATGATCTTCGAGGCATCGATCCACCGAACCTCCACTAGGAAACCAGGGATACTACCACTGCGCCATTGATGCACGTTTCATAACTTCAAAAATTTCTTCTAGATAAAGTTGAGGTTGGAAAAAATTGACAGCTTCTCCCCTCCCTCATTTTTCCAAATTTTTGTAAGCGTTAAAAACACGCTTACTTCTCATTACTAAGCGAAAATTTTATGAAAATTTTTTACCCATCATAATGCCCACTTCACCAACCAATCTCCCCACTCAAAAACCGCCCGTAATGCATTACCCTTGCCCCTAAATCCTCAGATTTCACCACATCTGAAGCCAAATCTCACTCGTTTACTCGCCGGATTGATTGTGTCCAGATGAGTTCATTTCCACCGTCTCACGATGGTTCTGTAGGGTGTCATCAACGGGAAAGGATTTTTCACAGCTAACACCCTCCCCGACAATATCAACAGAGTAGTTCATGAGTAGCAGTTTGAAATGAACCCGAGAAATCTGACCGGATACAACGGCCATCAAGGCCGAATCGCCCTTAGGACATGCGATCTCCAGTCATCTCNTGCTAGCGATTTCATCTGACTATGCTTGGTAGTACGCTATCGCATACGTCATGTCATTTGCATCTTTCCTCTCATCCTTATTCTTACTTTAACGCTTTCTTTTTCTCCCCTCATTGGTCAGAAGACTTCTTCAAGATTCTTTCGTTGATCCGTTTTACTTCTTACAATATTTCGTCACTGTGAGATTATTCGGTTGTGTTCATGATATTTTAGTTATTATTTCAATCATTAATTGAATGCCTTCCTAAATTGACCATAAGTTTTTGAAAATTTGCGTATAGTTAACTGCCATTTAGATTTTATGGGAGTTTGCTTTTCACAAAATTAATGCAATACACTTCAGCGCTTAAAATAAGAGCTGAGTAATGAATAACATCACTCAGCTCTTGTTTTTAGTTGAGTTTAAACATTTACAGCCATCTTTATGTTGGTGGAAGAGCAAGTAACAAATCATGATCACATCAATAATTAGTAGTGCTTGTCGAGAAAGGGAGTCACCCCTTCCCATATAATTCTCTTCGACTTTTTTGTCGGGTTCCTCCACTCCCCACAAACTTGCTGCTTCCTGACCGGTTCCACCAATCAAAAAATTGCACTCGACAAACACTGATAACTCTAATAATTACAATGAAAAACATTGATGAATTATTATTCGACAAACACAGTGATTCAAGAATGCCCTTATTTTTTAATTTTTTATCTTTTTTTAAAATTATTTTTTCATGTTATTTTCTTTTTTTCTTTTTTAGGCATTCGTTTTATGACATTTAATTTTCTTTATGAGATTGATCCGTTCTGTTGATTGATCCATCTATTTATTTGCTACCACTGAGTTGATGGGGGAGGACATTGTTCATCTTCGGATGATTGAGGTAATCGGTTCTGAGGTAATTGGTTCTGATGTGCGGATTATTGATTCAACATTGAACAGTGATCCATTTTGCGGATTATTGACTCCGTCGTCTTAAGTTACTGCTTTATGGACATAAGTTATAACACTTTGAGGAGCTGGCATTTCATTTCGCCCTTTGACTCCTCTCCAAACTTAGGGCTGATGTGAGAACCCGGAGGTTATTCATTGCGGACATCATTCATAACATTTGTTTGGAAGGGCATTGCTTTTCACTGAGCAAACAGTGAAGTAAGGGATTTTTTGGGTGCACTTTGCAGTAACGGAACTTTGAGGTAATGCACTTCCCGGTTGCATTCGGTGTGCCAGTTTCTTATATTCGTTTCTTTTTCCGCACATTCCGGTGATCGATTTGATACAGCATTATTAACTTGTTGCTCAGTGGTAGCAGTAGCCGTTTCCGTTGATTG